TGATTAAGTTTATGATGAAGAAATTCATTTTCTTTTAGCCATAATTCTAAAAGGAACAGAAAGAACTAGTTGAATATCCCGATGAAGTAATATCACTCGTTCACCATGCCCCTTTCCCTGAAAATGTCATACCATCTGTTTTAGTTCTTTATTTGACAAGATGTCGATTCTAAAATAAAAAAAGCTACAAAGAAAATTACATAGCTTATATATATATATATATATATATATATATATATATATATAATAGATGAAATAAATTAAATGAATAAGTAAAAATTGCTCAAAGTCTTTTAAATTTTTTGAACAGCGAACTATTTCATTTTATTCATTACTTTTATTCATTTATTCATTATGCAATGCGCTATTAAAAATTATTGCCATCTTGAGCATCGCCAAACACATACTGCCAAGTTTGCTCCATAAAACATATATAGTAAAGTTTCTGGGTCATAACTCAGTTCCAGCCCAAACTGTTCACCTGGAAAAAAATAGCCGGACGTTATTATGTAACAATTTATATATGTTAGAAATTTTTTTCCACAAAATTCGTTGGCGAAACTTTTGTAAGAATCAAATGTGAAAATCTTTAAATAATGGTCTTATAAAGTAAAAGTAATTAAATGAACAAGCGCTAATGATCTTCTCGTTCTTCTTTCTAATAGCCCTTACAAATATGAAAATAATGGTTTTTACGATTATATTTTATTTTTCATATTTTTATTTTTATCACTCGTTAGGTTGGTTCTGCTAGCTATAAGAGTGGGATTCCTCCAGCCCGATGCCATCATGCTTGAGATTTTAAAAAAGTCACTCCTTTTTTTCACTATTTAGGTCCATATTATAGTAATCTGTCTATATAAGTCTAGGTCTTAACTGGTCCCTCTCACTTTTGACACATAGGATGCAAAGCAGTCCCGCAATGAGCGTGAGTTGATCAGCACATAGTATTATTAATGCACGTGGTATTTGAGCGCATTAAACACTATTGCAGATAATATCTTCCGCTCTCATTGGCTATGTTACTACCTGAACGTGCAGCCAAATAAATTTCGCTTGGTTACTTGGCTATAAAAATGGTTCCAAATATATTTGAAGTCTAGCCAACCCATGACCCATGACGATTTGATAAAAATAGACTTTTTATAGATAGATTTAGATAGATTTAAAAATAGACAGATTTTAGAATATTTTAACAACATCTATATATCATATTTTTCTTCTTATTTTCATTGATCTTACCCAATTTTTTATACAAAAAGAAAATTTTATTTCCTGAGTTTTTCTGTTTCACTCTGCTATTTATCTTTCGCAACATTCAAAATAAATTAAGCTAAGTTTTTCTTTCATCTAGCCAATATAAATAAAATTATATATAATTTAATCTTTATATATATATTTTTTTAAGTTATCTTCAAATTTTTCTTTTCTTAAATTATATATATATATTTTTTTGACTTTGACAGGAATAAACTTGTCATGGTGTCAAAAATGCGAGTAGCTGCAGGGGACCCACCTCTATCTCTATCTCTAAGTGTCTCTATGGTGAAAGGATCAGGTCTTCTTGAAGCGACGTCCGCTTCTTTCGACGCGCATGATACTTTTGGTCCGTTAGTACATGCAATAAATATACGATGCGTAATAATTAATAACAATTATAGTTATAATTATATAATAATAAAACTGGTTAAATTCGCTCCGCTGACTTGTCACATTGGACAGATATGCCAGGGAGTCTCTTGGCGATAGAAGTACAAGTAAGTCGCCGGCATTAGCCGGATTTTTGGACGGGTTTATTCCTGCAGAGAATAGAATCTCAGTATCGGCGCTCCAAACAGAACAACAAACCACTGAGCCATTCTATCCCCATATAATAATAATATAATAATAAATAATAGTTAATATAATATTAATTAATAATAGTAATAGTAACAATTAATGATAATTAATAATACTAATAATTGATAATAATAATAATAAATAATAAGGATAATAATAATAATAAGAATAATAATAGGAATAATAACATAATAATAATGTAATAATAATAAAATAATAATAAATAATAATTAACAATAATAAATAATGATAATTAATAATAATAATGTGATGTGATCTGGCTTATTTGCCAGAGGTCCATCTTCCTCATGTTTGCTCTCGAGTAATTATTAAACCTGGTTCCGAAGATATTGGTTATCACCGTGTTGTTTTGGATAACACGGGGCGAAATGGCATAAAGACTGTCATATCTGAAAAGGCTTGATCCACTCTGTTTGGAAGCCAGTAAATGATGCTGAAACTGGTAACCGCCATGGATCAGACCTTGGTATGGTTCGAGCTAAGATTCGTATAAAACTGACAAGTAAGAAACAACGTATCCTGAGATTTTTCAATTATCTTAAATTAAAAGATCCGGGAACAATAAATGCATTTCAAATTATATTATCGAAACACCTCAGTGAAATGAACGTTAATGACATCTCTGGAATGGCGAAACACCTTTACAACAGTTACTTCCACACTAGGGTATACTATACTAGTAGGAAATGCATTAGTTCGAAAGTAACTGTTTAGCTATCTGAAAAAACTACCAACGCCCAAATGATAGGAAATCCTAACTATCAGGTGCTTCGAAGAATTATAACGACAGCAGCACAGCGGGACAGAAATCGCTATTAGAGCGATACGGCTTTAAGAATGGAATCGGCAGCTCGGATAGGTGATAAAGAGGAAATTGTTTCTCCTTTTCCCCAAAGCAACTAAAACTCGAGAAGGAGTCAGTGAAATAATACGGGGATATTAATGGGGTGGCTATTAAAGACCGCCTCAGAAAATGGAAAGAATTTTTTGAGGCCAAACTTAACCACGATGTGCCATCTATTATCCCGAATATAACTGATTTGCCCGTCGAGCCTTACGTTTGCAATTGTGAGCCACCAACAGATGAGGAAATACTCTCTGTAATCCATAAGCTTAATGCTAATAAAATTCCAGGAGAAGGTCTTCGGGCCGAACTCTTCAAATGTTGTCGATCATCGTTCATAACTCAACAAATGTATTCTCTGGTATAGCAAAAAGAAATAATACTAGAAGACTGGAACAAAACTTCCAGTTCTACTTCCAATTCCCAAGAAAGATGATTGCGACAATTACCGAGGAATCAGCCTACTGGACATTTCCGGAAGAATTTTTGCTTCCTTTCTGCTAAATGGACTCATGGGCAACACGAGGTAACAGAATGGTCCTAATCAACCTGGATTCAGATCGGGATGCGGTTGCGCTGACCAGATATTTACGCTATGATATTGGAACATCACTTCAAATACCAGCAAACCACCGTCACACTTGCTTCATCGATTTTGCAATTGCCTTCGATTACCTTGATAGAGCAGAGCTCTGGAAAGTGATGGAATGCAACGGTATCACAGAGACGATCATTCGACTCATAAAGGTATTTTATCAGTACCCCTGGCACAACTCTGTATACATGGGGAACCGACAAACTCCTTGAAATAAGAACTGGTGTCCATCCATGCGTCCTTTCCTTTCCCCAACAATATTCAACTGTATGATAGCCTGGATAATGAGCTTGCCGGCACTCAACTCAAGAGGTGTGCAAATCAGTCCAAAGCATAGCAACACAGACATTGAATACGCTGATAAAGTCTTTTTCCTGTTATAATGAAATGCAAATAAATAATGTTAAACAATGTATTAACAACTGCAGCGAGAATTTGGCTCAAAATCAATGTATACAAGATGCAAGATGCTGATAAAATATCTATTTTTCAATTCATTACTTGTTGCGGAAGTGCTTGGCTTTAAATACCTTGGATCCACTCTAGTCCCAAATGGCTAGGTAAAGGATGAAATTGTAACACTGATAACGACAGCTAGAATTGTTTTTCCGGTTGATGAAACCTTTATGGAAGCCTTGCGAAATCACCATAAAGATGAAAATCCGAGTCCATATAGATGCAATTCGTTCGATCTTGCTATATGGCTGCGAAACATGGCCAATGAGAGTAGAAGATATTAAGAACCCATTCTTATTCTACATTCTACGGTACATTCTACGGATCCGCCGAGCAGATAATAACATGATTCCACTTTCGCTCAAATACCACCTGGAATGTTATCATAGAGCGTAGCCTTCACTGGTTAGGTTCTCCGTCGTCCACCACAGGAGATGACGCATTATTTCGTTACTTGCTAAACCGTGTGATGGATGTCAAAAGCTAAACGGTGTGATGGAGGTGGGCCAATCAAGACCTGGACTTATCCAGTCAGAAAAGATTTTAAACGTATAGGGGACCAGCGATATACGGACTTAGTGGATAGAAAAGATGGAAAAAGGAAAGGGTAGCTTGGAGATATCTATCAGCTTGGACACTCTTGTAGCCAGCGGAGTCAGCCTAACCAGTAATGGTGAGAGTTGTTAAAAGAAGAAAAATCTATATGATGCAGTTCTGTTGCTTGTTATTATTGCCATAAGTCTATAAAGTCTTATAAGTCTTAAGTTATAAGTCTTTGGGCTTTAGCCCAAATGAGGCGAAAATTCCCATCGATTTTTTCTCATTCTCTTCTCTGCGCCATTGCCAGTTCTTTCTTTCATGCCAAAGAATATATATTGAAAATGAGTTGTGAAGGCAAAATTTGTTATTGCATTTCATTTTGCCGTAGAATTGGGACTCGAAATTTTCTCGCAAATTAAGGAAATATTGCTATTTGTGAGCGCTGGCAAGCTTGGTAATTATTTTTGGTATCAAGTTTGGGCACCGTTACCATCCGAAAGAAAATTTATTATTAACAAATCTGTGGTATTGGGAATAAACTTGTAGCAATTGACTTTCTGACAAAAATTTGTTTTAACAGCTATAGGAATGAACCTAATTAGAAATAGTTATCGCTAACATTTTCTTTTATTTATTTAATTTTTATCATATTTTTACCATAGCCGAAATAAAGCGTTTAGCAAATATGAATCCATTTCCCTATCCTTAAGAAACATCGGAACGAATATCGTAAAGTATCATACCGACAACAGCATGCCATGATCCACCATATTTTTGATCTAAAGTTTCTTTAATTGATTTTGCCGCCATCTGAAAAAATTTCCATATAAAAGAGATTTACACAAAAAGGGAAAAACCGAAAATTAAAAAATTTAGTTCATCCAAAAGCTGATCGAATTTTCAAAACATAAATAATGATTTTTACTATAGTCGAAATAAAGCATTTAAAATAAAGCAATAATGATTTGAATTTAATTGAAGTGACATTAATATAAAATCATATTGAACGATATCGCAAAGTTAGAAAGATTCTTTTGCAGTATTGCTATTAATGGTTTTCACGTCAAAACCGATATAAATCCAAGCGTTAAATAACCTCATTGTTCTCCAAATTGGATTCACACGCTTTGGCGATAATTTTAAGAGTTCCTTTTCGCGTAATATCATCCATATCGCAGCGCTAAAAACTTCATTTTTTTCATTTTATCGAAAACAATATTTTAAGTAATGGTTTACATAATTTATAGCTTATGTGGAGAGTTTTACGGAAATTACGAGCCTTTTGCAAAACAACTATCGTGCACCATACGCTATTCGAGAGGAATAAGGTTTTTAATTCAACTCGATGATTTTTCTTTCGGAGGTTAATAAATTAAGTCCACTTAGTTCACATTTCTTCAAGAGTGCATTTCACATATCATAAATAACCCTTATAAATCTGTCCTACATATATCTATTTGCATAGGTCTTTTACACGGCCTACATGTATTTACATATTTTCATATATCTTTTGCATATGGCATAAATTTAACATCGTGAAAATTTATATTGAATATCACCGCAATAAAAAAGAATTTGCACGACGAGGCAGATAAATTGAAAATTTATGATTTTAACCACTATTTGAATATATATGAGACATACTCTGACGAGCGGATAAGTGAATAACCGTCGAAATGAACCTTCTTTACTGGAACTTTGCCCTGAATCATTCGAGGATACGGAAGGCCTTATTTTCATTGTCTTTGTCATTTTTTTTTTCTAAAAAATGCTTTACATGATTTTAAAAGTTTTAAATTCTTCTTTGACGACATTTTTTTTAAGAGCTCTCATTACTGGTTAGACTCGTTTCGCTGGCGTTTCGCATAGGGCAAATTTGCATAGGGAGTACTTGGCGATAGAAGCACGCGAATTGGAATCTCAGCATGGACGCTCGAATCCACTGAGCTATTTCCACTTCTTTGGAGTTATAGTCAAATATGAAAATGAATCAAAAATGTTATTTATACAGACCAAACGCAATGAATTGATTAATTTGACGAATGACAGCGAAACATAATAATTTCAACGATTGAAATCTTATTTTTTATTATGACTGTCTACTCGTTTTTAAATTCCATTTTTCATTTAATTATTCTGGGTTTTTAACAATTTTTTTTTTTCACACGTGGTACTTAGAATTCATTTGACGTTTATTAAGTTTCAAAACTTTAGAATGGTTAAATTAATCTTTTATATTATATAAAAGATCATAAATATCCGATCAACTAGAAAAAACGTTCGCTTTCAAGAATAGTTAATCATGAAGGAAATTTCTAAAAAAGAGGGACAAATGTGGAGAAAAATTGCTGTAAAAAAAGACTTGCCAGAAAAAACGAGAAATCAAATTTTAGCAAGCGAGGCATTATAGAAAATAAAAACATTAAATACGTTCACTCCACGAAAATTCGATCTGCTTGGATTTTATGAATCAATGAATAAATAAAAAGGCGTCAAAAAATTTTTTTCAAAATTTACTTTCAAATTTATATAAAATTTATTTATTCGATAACATTTGTTTTAAATTTCATGCTTCAAATTTGCATATTTGCAGAGCATTTATGCTTAAATTTAATTAAATTATTGCCTATATTTTAATCGCATTAATTAAACCTATTTTGAATGAAGAATTAAAAATAGAATATGTATGGATAAAAGGAATTATTTTAGTTAGAAATTATATTTTATTTTTTTAAATTCTGTTTAGTTAGTGAGTTTTCAATAATTCATTTTGGAGTCGTAAATTTTCATCGGAATGTGATAAGTCTTAGAAGAGAATTCACTGGTGTTTTATCTATCTATTTTTAGCAGTTTTTACTTAATGTTCTACAATTTTGTACCTTTACAATTTCTACATTTTGTTCTCTAAATAACTGAAATATCTGAAATTATCTTCAGTTATTTTCTGTTAAACCAAATTTATAGTAAAACTCACGATATTGCTTTTTATACTAACTACTTAATGAAGCAAAATGAAAAATTTAATTATAAAAAGTTTTTTAAAATCCTCTAACTTTATTGATAAAAAAATAATATATATCGAAAAAATATAAATATTCTATGAATGTGAATATAGAACGTCTCACGAAAACTAAGAGGAAAATCGGAAAAACGACGAAGTTTGCAAAAAATAAAATGATTAAAGAAGGTATAAATAATAAATAATAGCCAAATGTTCCCAAATTTCAATAAAATTTTATGTTGAAATAATTTTTATTACTGTTTCATATGAATTGTTAAAAGAAATAATATTATATTTATCGCACTATAACGAAAAAAAAAATTTGAATTAGAAAATTTGAACTGAAAATAATAAATAAAGAAAAAACGATCATCTAAATACAATAATAGTAAAACAGAACAATATTTTAGGGAGATAAAATATGAGTTAAGCAATTTAAACAAAAATAGAAATATTTTTATGGAAAATATTTAAGTTTATAAAAAATTTCGATTTACTTGTTTTTATATTACTTATTTCGCAGAGATTGACTGCATGGATGTTGATTTAATGAATATCGACTACGGAATTTGTTAGTCAAAATTTGTTAGACCCATTATGAGATGAAGATATATATATATATATATATATATATATATATGTAAATAATGTATGCATGCATGCATAAAGATGAAAATGTGATGTAAGACGAATAACAGAGGTCATCATCGGTTCTTACTTACTAATTAATGTTGTTCCATAATTAGCTGGCATATGAAATTAAATGCATCCATAAACGAAGACCTTGCATGTCTCTTTTGATTAATATTGATTTTAAAATGAAGATTTCGTCCTGAAATGAAATGAAATGATATACAATTAGTTAACTTGCAAAATTTGCTGTTGCATCAAATGCGATTGTTTTAATCAATCTGCTATATATGTACATATCATGAAATAAAATTATGAGATGCTTTAAAGCAGTCGTTCGCAAATTGCTTTTCGAAACGCTTTTCACTACGACTTTAAGCTCTTAGAAATTTTTGAAGGTATATCTTAAGAACTTTACTTTTTGTGGTTATTCCCTTTGATATTTAACATATCAGAAATTAAAAAGGGAATTTTTAAATGTATTGAATATTATTATTTAATAATTTCTTTTCCTAAGAGCGCTAACCATTTGTGATTAGTCTCACTCCGTTAACTTGTCGGATCAAACAGATTTCACTTAATGAAAGAAATAGCGATGAATCAGTCGGATTTCTGAAAGACAGGCTTTACTTCTACGGGAAGTAAAACGCATCGGCAGTCCGAAATAATCCACTATTTATTAAATATTACAACAGTAATAACTTACTGAACCATTCTCTATCCTATAAATACTAAATATTAGTAATGTTTATCTTCTTAAAGACCTTTTGAAAAGATTCCAAGAATTCTTTGGGATCCTTAGGCCACATTGCTTTAAAAAAAATGAGAATTACATTAAACGTCGATTCGGTAAATTCATTTCTAAAATATATTATGGAAAAAACCATACTTAGAAGCATAGAACAATTCCATCCAAAAATCAAAACGAATTATTTGTGTAGAAAATAAACCTAATAGAGTACCAAGAATAAAGTATAAAGAATATGGAGTACAAAGAAAAATTCATAGTCTTTCGTTTGTTTATTCTTTAACGAAACAAGTTATGTGCAAGATTTACTGTCGAATAATAGAATATAATGTAATTATCAATAATTGAACACAGAATGAAAAATTAACTGCTTTTAATTAAGGAATTATTATTATTATCAATAAACATTATAAATAAATATAATTTATAATTTATAAAAATTTCCACAAACTAGCACAAAAAAAAATAAGTGTTAAAATATAAATTATTAAAGAGTTTCTGGTAAGTTTTCAACAATTTTAATTCAATGGTTAATGTTCAATGGTTAATTTTCAATTTCAATTTAAATATGCTTCAGAAAATTAGTAATTATAAAATATAAAGTATCCATTATTGGATGAACGACAGATGAATATCGGTCCCAACTAAAGGTATGCCTCTGAAAGTTAGTTGTTTCCATCTAGTATATACTAGTAGGAAATGTGCTAGTTAGCTAATTCCTCGATAACTATCACAATGCCTAATTTACCTAAAATACTTAATTTTATCAATCCATTGCTGGCTGGCTGCAGACTTTAAATATCGTAGATCTACTTTAATCCCAAACGACTAAGCGAAAAAGAAAATACAACTTGGATAATGGTAGTTAGATATGCATTCTTCCAGTTGGCATGTATATTGATCTTACTATATGGCTGTGAGGCATGGATAGGATTCTTGAGGAAAGGCCTAATCCTTTTTTGAGATATAAATATAAGTCCATATGGGAATATCAAATATTCAAAGAGGATTAATAGCGATCACTGCTCGGTATTCCATGCTTCATGAAACCCAAGCCTATTAAATAATTACGAGTTTTATAATAAATTCCACTCTAACAATGTCAATGTGAGAATTTAGAATAAATTTGCGAAAAATTTCATTTTCATTTAATTCATTCAATTAGCCATTTTTTCATCAGAACATTTTTATAAAAGAATAAGAAAAAAATAAGAAAAACAGATGTTATTGCTGGAAATTTAAGGAAATTTAAAAAGACGATCCATGAGAAGTATAAAATTGAAATTTTACTGCCAAATTTTATTGGTGAAGAAGTGAAACTGTCAAATCTATCCATCACTGCCATTTTCGTGGATTTGGCCATAAATAAAAATCACTATCGATTTAGATATAAAAAAAAATGCATTATTGGAATGCAAAAAACTTCATTGGAAATCAAAATTATTAAATATATTTGACAAGTTGGTTAATAGTTTAAACAATTTCTATTTAATAACTATTTAATTTCTATTTAATAACTATTTAATAACTATTTAACTATTTAATAACTATTTAATAACTTATGTAATAACTATTTAACTTCACCGAATGCACATTTGATGAGCGATACAGCTCGAGTAAGCAATTCTTTCTAGAATATTTTCAACTATTTTTTTGGACTATAATTTATTATTACAATTCTTTTCTGGAAGAATTTTTCCACAAGAATCCAGAATTCTTATTGAGCAAGTATTAAATTGAGACTTATCTGTTGCTTAGTTTAATTGCTTAATTGCTTAGTTTTCGGTAACATTTGGTTCACTGGTGAGATGAACAGGTGAACAGTACAAGAAATTCGCTAATCTATTTTAAGAAATATTTTTGTCATACATATCGCAAATGGACAACGGAAACAGACAACGCAAATTTCCTATTATTATATCATATTTAATATATGACTGCTGGCATTCAAGACAAGAAGGCTTTTAAGATTTATGACTTCAGCATTCTAAAATTTTGAGGCTCTTTAATAAAATATATGGAAAATTCCTTTTTCATTTTTCTTTTATATCGCTCGAAAATTATCTTTTTTTCCTTTCTTTTGCCTAAAATATGTGAAAAACTATCTATCGAGTTCCATCTTATTTTCTGAATCTCTAAATTTTTCTTCTTTATACATTTTCTTTATACATTTATACATTTTTCCTATTCTTTATAAAATGCATTCATTATTTCGTAGGCAAAAGATTTGTTCGATGATTATTTTATTTTCCACAGCTTCCCTTGACCTTTACATTGAAATCTCGAATGACCTTCTCTAATTCTTTATTTTTCACTATGCAATCGACTCTTTTTCTTTCGCTGTGATTATTAAACGGGTTTTCATTTTGTAACTACTCGGTTTCCATTCTCTTTCAGCAGTTTTAAATTTCGAAATTTGCTTAACGCTACAAATTATAAAAGCTCATAGTTCATCGAAAAAAATTCAGTTATTTCGGAGTTCAAATTTTGTAATTTTTTAGTTTCTTTCGAACAAATAATGCTTTAAAATAATTTAATGGCCAAGTTAATATGCAAATTTAAATTGCGATAAAAATCAAAGGGAGAATTTTTTTATTTTCATCTGTATTTGTTGAAGTCACTCGTTTTGCTATTCATTTCTATCATTTCTTCTTAGACGTATGAATGGGAAGCAGGAATCACTGAGACGTATGAATGGGAAACATTTTATGGATGGAGAGGGACACTTGACCAGAGAGTCGACGACCTTAAACTTGAACGGAACAAAATTCCACTAATTTCTGGCTGAAATTCAACACCTCCTTCAATTAAGCTTAGTGAAAAGCCTAAAGCCCACTGTATTCCGTTAAGGCTGTTCCGAACTTTGACATTGTTTAGTATTACCGCATAACTCTCCCTCAGCACCTCTTATTCCTGCTCTAGCTCTGCGATATTACTCATTACAATTCTAACTTTTATGATTTTGTAGTTGCGGCTGCGACACTGAACTGAATTTGGAAGGGGGTAAAGCAGTTTAAAATTTAAAGTAATGCCACTAATGGATTATGGTAAAAGAGAATATTAGAGGGTATTTGACAGATTTGGATAAAGTTTTTCCGCAGAATATAATAGGCATTAACGGGTAGACGGCATCTCGATTTCAAGAAATATTGTAGCGAAAGGACACGAAGGATAATGCAGTATGCTGGAGCACCATAGACGATGTGAAGAAATTTAAAAGATGTTCCTATATGACAATGTAGCGAAGGTTGTTTAAGAATATTAAAAAAGATCAAGAGCGTTTTGCGTTTGTGGAAAGTTTAAATGAAATGGAGAGAAAACGGAGAAGAAAAGGATTTCAAGGAATTGTCAAGATACAATTCCATGGTATATTACCAGGTCGCAAGGCGTTAATAAATTAAGAGTTACTTTAGAACAGTGTCAAATGTTTCATAGAATAATGCGTTATTTTAGTTGATTCAAGGGCAATATTTTTGATCCTCGAACAAAATATTTTAACCAGTGAACCCCCTCTACGGACAGAAATTTCGTCAAACCTCATCATGCACTGTCTTCTTAAAATCCATTGTATTCTTTTTAACGTCCGGTGCCACCCTGTTCTGGCGCTTCAAAAGGCTCTATGGTTCTCCGGTAACAATTCAAACGTTGTTCTTCCTAGATATTTCTCATCCCTTTATTACCTTTTATCTTACCTTTTTATCTTTTCTATGTGAATGTGACTGTATTAAATGCGATGTTTGGCTGAACATTTAAGGGACAAAGATATACAACAAGTCACACTCATCATTATTATCACTTAAATTTTCATATCGTTGCTTTTTCACTGCCATTTGTTACTTTTAAAAAATCTACTTTCTCATTTTTTCCATACCATGAAAAAATCAGAAAAATTTCAAAATCCTATTGGATACATTGGATTTAAAACCCTAAGAAATACATGTGCAATCGAAATATAATAAATATTTATCTATTATGTTATATTTTCATAAATTATTTTGTAAACAAATTAGTAAATTGTGAATGGATTTCGAAAAATTTATGCAAAAAATTTTATAAATTTTTTTTTTTTTACGGTTTATTAGAGATCGAAACGTATTAAAACATTCGGTATTATTCGGAAAAGTTCTGAAAAATAAGGAGAGATTCGAATATTTTATATAAATATTTATAAAGTGGTGACAAGGAATGCAATTTCGCCCAATCAAATACAGTGGATTTTGGATCCAAGAATGAACTTTGATACTTTAATCCTTCTTGAAACCATTTCCGAAACGTCCTTTAACTCATTTTAAGTTAACATACTTTTTTTTGTTCTGAAATAATCCAATAATTAATTTTTTTCATTTTAATATTTGAATAGAATTTCATTGAACACAGTTCAGTGTGAAAGATTTTGCTCTATTCATCTTTATTTCTATCTCGAAATAACTGTCTGGTAAACGATAAACGACGTACTTTCAACCAAACAGCCAATAGAGGCAACTAAACCAAAAATGAAGTGTTGGAAGCGGACGAAGAAGAAGTCTCCGAAACGACATTATCTTCGTCGTACCAAAAAAGCTGCACTAAACCGCTTCATCATTTTTAGTGGCATTTTGTAAATATTTCATTCAAGTTTCTTCCTTGTGCATTTGTGCATTTGAATTGTTTTTTAAACATTCATTCATTAATGTTGTGGCTTTAAACATGAACTTAGAAAGGAGTTCGCTAACATTTTTTCGCTTCTTTATCGCCTTCGCACCACTGCTGGTTTGGCTTGTTCCACCGTCGATTTGGATAAAATATTTCCCAGCATATCTTTGCTATTAATGCCAAAAGATTATTTCTGTTGCATTGTTTCGATCGACAATTTTTTTGCTTTAAATTTTGTAGGGCTTTCGTTTTTCTTCAAATTTTCATTCGTTATACATGTGTCAGATGATATCGGCGATTATACTTATTCGTTTAGCTTGTTCATTGCTCGTTCCTTATTCATGCATTCATTTTTTTGTGCATATAAATTGCTATTTCATGATTCATTTATTTTGGAACCGTGAAAATGGTTACGGCATTAGGTTCACATGTAATGTGCGATTTATGTCGAATTTCATTCGTTTTCTATCGTTTCCCGTTATTTTTGATTCACAAATGTTCTTCCTATATTTTTCGTATTATTTCTAAAAATTCATAGAAATAAATTATCACTTTATAATTTTCCTTCCGTTCTTCCCACACCACAAAAAATTGAAAATTGATTCGCTTGAATTCATCTTTTTTGTTACCTATATAAAGTTCTTTGCCGGCGTAATCATTAATACAATGGGAATTAGCAATGAAAAAGAAAGGCACTTTTTTAAAGGAAATCACTAACAACTGGAATTCTGCCTAATTAAGAAATATACAGATTGGATAGAATGGCTCAATGGATTGTTGCTCAATTTGGGGCGGCAGTGCTGAGGTTCTATTCCCCATAGGAATAAAACCTGTACAAAAATCCAGGTGAATCACCTGTACTTCTATCGCCAAGGGACTATTTGTCCAGTGTGATAAGCCAGCAGAGCAAATTTAACCAGTAATGGTGAGGAATCTTGAAAATATATGATAAAAAATAATTATATCTGTTATAGTCGAGAGTACATTGCGATTTAAGTCGAACTATCGCACTTTTAATTCTATTTCTTGGAGATAGTAAACCCATCAGGAAAATTAAAATTCGGATGCTGGAAATCTATCCAAATGTTTTTGTCCATGATAGACTCTTTCGAACTGTGACGTCACACTCTTTTAGCTAATTGAACAGCCAAACTGGAAATGTTCAGCGCTGTTAGGATGAAAGAATTGATCAAAAATTAATTTTTTCAACTTCATTGAGTGATACAATATAAGCTTTTTCCTGATGGAGGATTCTTTCCATTATCAGTTTTTAACCTTTATGATAAGATAATTTCGAAATTATTTGTTAGTAAGTGAGCATATAAGCACTCACCGTATCTGGTTAGATTTTCTCTACTTGTCAGTAGCATTTTTGCCATAGATCCGCTTGAGAATATAAATATAGATGAGCGCTCATCAACTTTTAATATTAGGCTTAACTGAGGTTAATACATCATATGGGAAATGGTAATCTGAGCGTGATTCGGCTATTCTATTCTCCAAGCTTTTTTTCATTGTTTTTATATATTTTAAAAAAACTAAAAAATTAAATAGTTCCCTGTGTATTTCTTCCCACAAAATTATTTGGATTTTGTGGACTTTTCCTTGGACATTTGCACTTTTCCTATTCGTTATCATTTATTTCGGCATATTTTTATCTCTATTTTTCTCTATTTTTATTAATTTTGCTGTTTTTCTTCTGCTCTCCATTAAAATAATTTTTTATTCTATAAATTTATTAAAAATCGTTTACTTTTAAAACCTTTATTATTATAGATAAAAATGGAAATAAAAGTTATTGTAAATGGCCAGGAAAGGTGTGTTTCAGGTGTAACTGAAGCAACAACGTGTGCACAAATTATTTATGCAATTGCAAATGCCATCGACCTGAAAGGTCATCTTTTTCTTACTGAAAAAATTGGCGAAACTGTAAGTTTTTTGTGATGCTTTCCCCGTTTTATTAATTTTTTTTATTTATTTAAATCATAAATTAGCTCAAAATAGTTGCAATATGTCGATAAAATTTTAATTTTTCGATTATTTTTTATTCAAAATCCTTCTTTAGCTATAAATTAGCGAAGATACGGGGGTGAAAAATCATTTTAATCATTTCGAAAATTTCCAAAAACTATGAGATTTTATATTTAAAAATAATAAAAAATTAATATACTTACATATACTTGTTTTCGATTACGGTCCTTGTTATATAGGAGAGGAGGTTAGCACCCGGTGATTGCCTCTCAAATATACTGAAAATGGAGGAAACAACATCTGCGAATGTAGTTTTTACTCTGAAACAAATCGACGACAGATCAAATCGTATATCGCTCGGAAATTTTTCACAACAGCCAGTCGTATCATCAAGCAACAACCTCAAAGTAGTTCCAGAAGTAAGTTATTAAGAATCAGAAGGAATAGTAATCAAATTTTCTTATCTTTTTCCACTTGTATTATTTTTTCACATATAGCTAGATATGTTCCATTAGTACATTCCTACAACTTTTTATAACATGAATAGATATCCAGTATCATAAATTTGGCTACTGCGGGGAACAAACTCCAACTGACTCTCTGGGTGCAAGCGTCTTATTAGCAATCAGACAATTTTTGGCCATAGATTTGTTTGCATTTGATATGTTTGCTGTCATCTCCACTTTACTGTTTCCTTAATTCACAGCAAAACAATAAAATCGACGACTATGATAAGCGTTCAAATCCCTTTCGAGGATATTTTAATTATTCAAACTGTAGCGATACGATGTATCAACAATGCGATTATTTTGTCGGACCTTTTACTTCGACTTCAAGTATTGCTTATTATTCAAATTATAAAACAGAGTAGAATTTCTTGCATAAATTTCTTAAACAACGAAGGAAATCAAAGAATCAATCAACGAGAGAGTCATTAATTTTTACAAATCTTCTTCATCTTATGAAATGGAAGGTAGAAAATAGGGATTCCCATTCATAAGATCAATTCGATTTCATTATTTGTCACTTGTCACTTTATAGAAAAGTACCTTTAAATGAACTCATTTCACATTCATAAGTATTATAGAATTATTGACTCAGCAATGTAATGCAACAACAAGTTTTGCTGAAAACTTTAGTAGTACAACAAGTTTACCAATATTTAATTCGAGATCACTGAAGAATAGACCACCACCTCCAGGTTTGGAAAGTTTTGTATGATACACTCATTTAAATTGAAGTGAAGTTATTCGTGATCTTGGATATATTTGAAACGAGCAAAAAGCTTCTAATTTATACTTTTTAAAAATATTGATGAATTAACAATTTTTACTCAGAAGAAAAGAATCTAAACCGTATTAAAATTTAAATTGGTGGATTAGCTTTTATTAATTCAGCATATCATGAAGTAATCGAACAAAAATATCATTCGCTTACGAGGGTTCACGCGACATCGTCGACTTATCAGTATGTTTCCTGATTTCCCTGTTTAGTACCATTAAGTTAACTGTGCAAATCTATATATTCAAAGTATTCTTAAAAGCAGTGTGGAGAAATTTTTTCTGTATCAAATGAATAAAATTTTTAGGTTGGGCGGTAAGGATTCACCAAATGATGACTTCAGAAATGGTTAGTTCTTTTTTGTTTTTTTTTCGCATTTTAATTGCCTTTCTTGGAGTAGAATGAATGATAATATTGGGTTACTTCTAATTTCGCATGCGCCGATGCCGCGGTTTAAGCCATCGTAAAGCCATCTTTCATAAATCCTGACTGTGCATTCAATTCACCTCTTATACTTTTATCTCCAACTGACTTTTTCTTGTCCAGTGAAAGTGCCAACCAGAAATGGTGAAAAATAGAATAGCTTTTAGAAAAATAGGAAAAAATCGCTATTGACATTATTACATTTGATTTCACAAATCTCATTTGATTTAGGAAATTTTTTTTGCGAGATATAGAATATAATTTTCCGCTCTAACACCGCTCGCATTTCTGATTTGATAAATTCCACAGATTATTAGATTGGCACCGCTTCGCTAGGTCATTTGAGAACAAATCCGCAGCAGGCATTGGACTTCATTTTTAATGATGAGTTTATCTCCGTCTGGAAGTAAGGATTGAAACTATGGCCTTAATCAATCGTTATCAAAGCAATCGTCCTTAGCTCAAAAAAATGATTTCAACGAAATAAATTTGCTGAATAATAAATAAAATGTAATGGATGAAAAATATTACAGTTAATCTAAGCCGAGAAGAACTGGAACGACTTGTAGATGAACAAAAAAAAATTATTGAACGGCAGATATCTCAACTGGCAAACTTAGTTTCCAACGATGAACAACGTGAACTTCTACAAGTGAGTAATTCATACTCTTCTCGATGTAGAAATTCCCATATTTAAAAATTGATTCATAGCTGGAACGACAGCAAACAAATTTGCGATTCGTGCTCGATCCTCTCCGTGCCTCGAACTGGCCCGTACGACATAAGCAAGAATTAACTAAGCTTGAAGAAGCAAAAAAATTAGTCGCCGAACTGCAACTTAAAATTCAGGAAAATGCCAAGTAAATATTTACATTATGGCGCTTTTCACTAATTCATATTTCAACATTGACTAATAGTGAGTAATAAAATAAAATAAAATAATAAAATTTAATAAAATTGCACCAGCACGATCAGTGAGATATGATTTTTTAATTAAATTTTTAACCTTGAAATTACGCCAAATATATAAGAAACAACGTTGAAAAACTTTTTTCATTTGAGTTTGCTATTGCAGAGAACTTCAAAAATTGGAAGAACTTCGAAAAAAACTAGAAGAAGAGGTTGCGAATGTTACAAAAGAACTTGAACAATTACATGTAGACTTCGTCAGTTCCGAAGACAGTTAATACAACAGAATTTTATTTCTCTATTTATTTTCCAAGTGATAAATTTCAATTTATATTTAATATTAGAAAAAATAACCAATAAATATGAAAAGTGAATACTTAAACAAATATACGAAATAAAAAGCAGAATTTGAAACTGCCAAAAAGGAATTATCCACTGAACATTGGTCATTTGGCAAGCCTATTAAACTAACCTAGACGGTGATAATAAAATATTTGCTGGAGGTAATTTGATTAAATAATTTTGAATATAGATATTTGTTTACACTACTACATATGATGATATATAAACGATATGAACGGTGACAACAAGAAAAACAATGATACTGATAATTGTTCCAGATTGATTGACTGAGTGAATACAATTTAAAAATAAAACAAAGGAGTATATATGAAGGGAATATATAGAATATACTTGGCATTTAAAAAAAATTTTTATTAATTACTACCATACATAATAATGACATATATTTTTTGGTGGTGTATATATTAAATATTTTTGTAAAGTAGGAAAGCCGCAAGTGCGGCTACAGCTGCACCAAACGTTATTCTGGACAAAAGGTTGGAGTCTTGGAGATAATACACTTTTTTTAAGTGCCTAAAATATATTGAAAAATATATAATGGATCATTAATAAAACGAATCTTTAAGTTGAAAAAAAAATATGAAACATAAGTAGAAAATTTTACTATCTTCTTTGAATTTTAATGTAGCATTTTAATGTAATTATAGTAAATAATTATAATTATAATAATAATTTTTATTATTATAATATTTTCTTTAAATCAAAAGAGATGAAGATCAAATAATCTTTATCAAGGCGATTGAAATTTGAAATAGGTTTATTTTTATTTTACAAAAAAAAAAAAAAAAAACTTGCGGATATACGGCCATAGTCGCTATCTGTGTGTATATCGGTGCATCTGTATGACCAATATCTTCATGGCGAAAAAGAATAGGCTGCGGCAAGGAATGGTTTCTGCAAAAGTCTCCAGGTTGTTGACCATATTCTTGTTCACTTTCAAAATATTCAGATTTTGTTGCGACGACAATGCATGGAACTTTTGTGCGGTAAAAATATTTCTAAAAACCAAAGGAAAGAATAAATGAAAAAGTTAAAAGTTAATTATTTTTTCTTTTTTCCTCATCCTCAAGAAAATTTCTGCAAAAAATGTTACAAACTGAAAATTACGAGGCAAAATAGAGAAAGATTAATATTAATAAAAATGTTATTAAATGTTATAATCAAAAACCTATACTTACCAAATATATAGTCGCCACATAAGAAAATGAATTAGAATCAGAAGCATCATAAAGAAGAACTATAACATCTGCACTTTTTTCATAGCTGGTAAGAGTTTCGTCTGGTGATAAAACATCAACTTCATGCAACTAATGAATAGATGAAAATTGAAAAATATGCAATATATCATTAATAAAGCAAATTTTTAAGTTGTAAAAAATTTGTCAATATTTGAAATGCTTGTAAAAAATGAAGTAAAAATGATGTAAACCTAAAATAAAAAAAATTTTACCAGCAAATATTTTGTCGCCCCTTTCACTTTAACACTATTCATTACATAAGGAGCAAATCGCTTTTTGACTTTATTGATTAGTGTCATGTCCTCAAATATTCAAAGACTTAATAAAAATCGAAAGATCATTTTAACAGTCCTTAATAACATCCTCAAACAAAAAAAATTAACCGAGAGAGAACGACCAGCAAACGACTGAAGAAAGACACTTTTTCCTGCGCCTTTAGGACCAATGACGTGGCACTGGAATACTGTCCTTGATGTGGATTTTTCAGCAATATCTATTCGTCTATCACGAGTTATCTAGATTTTTCCAGATTAATTACTAGTAAATAAAAAATCATATCTTAATGACAAGGAGAAAAGATGAAGAAAAAGAAAATAAATTTGGAAAGAAAAAACAGAATATAATTAAACTACGCTAAAAAAAATTATCGATGTCTCGTTATGAGAATGAAGGCATTCGACAAAACATTCTCGTCAAGATAATAGGCATAGCAGCATCTTTTTCAAGATACAAAGCTAATACATTAACTAACATAATCAAATAAAATAAATAATACAAATAAAACAAATCAAACAATTACAATTAATAACAGACAAGAAAGTTTGGTTTTTGAAATTAAAAAAATTATAAACTAAAAGAAAATATTTTATTCAAAAAAATGAAGCACTAACACAATCTATTACACAATTTTTTCCCAAATAAACACAAGTCAATCACTGCAGTGGAATCCCCGAAGCGGCTAGGAATACAGCTACTTCTCTTTTATTTATAATTTCTGGTTCCAAATTTGTCGATTACGCAATATGGTTGCCAACGCTAAGAAAAAATGAAGCCGAATGGTACAATGCCTGCAAAATACGACGAGGCTGTAGAGAATCCCTTCTGTAGCACTATATAATCAAGCACTGTCCTGAAGAACAAGAACACTTTTGAACAAACAGATTGCGTAATGCCTCTGAAGCATCTGTTGTGAGCAGTGGAAATACGTGATGATTATTAAAAAAACTTATAATGGAAGAAAGCTGAAATCCACAAAAACACTTTACGTGCTGGCAACCTGTATTACTATTACAAAGTGAAAATTTGTCAGTGTAGATAATCCATTTTCATTTTCTAGCCGAAAGTGGTTCAACATTGTATTAAAACACCAAGTTAGAATGTAGTAAAACAGTAAAACAGCCAGATCAAATCGAATTAATCCGCTTAGCTTCGAAATTTTTCTAGCATAAATATGAATTAACTGCTTCGTTATATTGCTTCAAGCTATCGTTTGACATAAACCTAACTCGACACTAGCCTTCAATTCACTGATGATAGTCTTCCCTCGGGAAGTGCATCTTCTGAAATTATCACCCTTAAGCTCCCGTTTGCTTATTTTTTCCTCTCCAATTCCGTACATGGGCTGCTTGTGCGACAAGTTTAAACTTATAAAGCAAGCGTGTTAGAAAAAACATTTCGCATTTGATGCAGATCATTTCGCGATTTCATTCTACTCAATTTCACAGCTTTACACTTCTAACATTTTTCGAATCAGCATCACCGTAAAAAGTACTGCTAACGATGCATATCACCTTTTCATCCAAAAGATAACGTCGAAAAATCAAACCTTTTTGGCAAACTAATACTTACTGCATTTTAAACCATTTAGTCCTGGCTACTTTAAACAATTTTAAAGAAACAAAGAAAAAAGTACATAGAAAGTAAAAAACCATGTAATAAGGTTATAAAATTTTGTACCTGTACAGCATCCAGCTGAGAATGGTGGCGCATATTAAACCCCAAATATGCCAAAAGCTCCATTGTTAACGAAACATTCAAAAATGTCGTCATCCTAAAAAAATTAAATTCAACAGCGCGAGAAAAAATTCAAATTTTGGAGAAAAATTCGCTCTAAATATATAAAGTAACAGGAGTTAACGCATTTTTGAACTCTTCTTCAATAAAACTTTCAAATATATATAAATTAAACTTAAAAATAAAATTTACACCCAGAAGCAAACATATCCATTATAGGTCAACCACCCTTTATTATTTGTCTCAACTGATGAACAAGATTCTCGAGTCCAAGGATGTGTTATACAAACACTGAATAAATTCTGCATCTCTGAAGGCGACAGACATGAGTCTCTATCCTGACAAAAAAAACTTTTGAAAAAATCGAACCAACAATACAGAGGGCCATCTCCGCTTTAGAACCAGCAAAATGCAAAAAAAGTAAAATAATTACAGTAAAATAAAATAGAAAGTAAAATAACAAAATAATTGCAGCAGATCTATTTTCGGAAAGGATTCAATATGAAAATATAGAATTATATTTATTTAAACGGGAAATTTAATTAAAATATAATAAAATTAAAGAAAGGCAGTCAACCAATGGAGAAAATATCTTATATAGAGAAATATGGAGAAATTAAAATGACCTCGTCGTATTTTTCAAAAAGAGTATTGATAAAATGAAATCCTTCGTAAGTCAATTCTATTGAGCAACCTTTTGGCACTTTAAGCCTAAAAATAAAGAAAAACTGCCTATAGAATTAGAAATAGGAACAGAAAAATTAAAAAATTTCAAATAAAAATATTTCATAAATAAATATAGAAATATAAATATAGAAAAAAATTAACGGAGGATGCAAATAATCAACAGCCAATTCAATTTCATTATCATAACCAAATCGGCGCAGAACCCTCCATGTAGTTTCTTGACGTCCTCTATTAATGAAAAGCTGATGTAGATATATGAAACCTAAATAGTACCAATTCAAGAAAATTTACATCAATTTCCGATAATAAAAGCTTTATAAGCTTTATAAAAAATTCTTTATGACAATTTTTAAAACATTCAAGAAAGCTTTATTATGAAAAGGAATTAAAAATTTTAACGAACAAAAAGAAGCATTAAAATCGTTAGCCAATACTTTCATCAAAATTCCATCAGAGAAAAAGGAGAAGATGGCACAAATCCAAATTTCAAAGACTTGTCAAACAGGCTAGATTTCTATGAAAAAGGATAAGAAAACCATAAAGGGAACAAACCATCAAGAGCAAGAGCATTTTCAATTATTCCTTCTTTATTATTACTTTCAATAGCTGCCTTAACATCCTGTAATAAAATTAACTGGAAAATAAAGTTTAAATTTCAATGATCATAATAATATTTTTTATTTTGACTATGGCTTTGACTATGTAATTAAATAATTATATTAATGTATCTGTCAACCTACAGCGATAGCAGTAGCATTCAGTGGCACACCAAAGACAAACATTTGAAAATGATTCAGTTCTTCGTCATTCAGCAAGCCATCGTTATCATTATCACATAACTTCAAAATTATCATTTATAGAATCTGTGTTTAATCTAAAACGAAAAAATCCAGAGACATACTTTAAATATCCTTATAAGTGCCCGCTTGCATTTTTTGGTTAATTCTCGTTCTTGCGGCAGGTACAATGGATGGCTTGGATAAATAACTGCCTTTTGTGCAAAATAGAAAATTTCGCTAACATTTTTCATTGTTTTTGCTGAACATTCTATACAAGTGTCGATTTCTTCAAACTCATTCATTATAGGAAATACCTTAAAAAAATTTACATTTTCGAGAGGAAATATTTGAATCTAATTCGAAATAAATTCGAAATAATAAATTCATGGGTAAGAAATAGACGGACTTTCTCCATATGTTTAGACGAAGAAGTTTCATCAGATTTGTTTCCAACAAGTATTACGGGGCAAATTGTCTTTTCTGTGTTAAGTATACGTTTAACTAATGGCAGCCAGTAGGATGTCACCTGAAAAGAAAATTAGCGATTTTATTACGCGAATGCGAATGACTATACATTTTTTATTTTCGAAATTATTTTCAGAATCACTGAACTCAAAAACTAATTTACTAAAAACTGATCTATTAAAAATAATCTATTTCTCCACCCCACATATAAATCATCAAGAAGCAAAAAAATAAAACCTTTTCAATCGTACTTTGGTCTTGCACAGAATAGACAATGCAAATGACATTCGCTTCTAATATTTCTCGTTGCAATTCTTCAAAACTTTGCTCACTCGCTAAAAATTTTAAGAAATCTTAAAAAATAAAAAAAACTAGACGTCGAAATAAAAACTTCATTATTGTTACACAGCACATGAAACTCTAGAAACTCTAGAAAAATAAAATATATATATATATATATATATTTACATATATTAAAGTAATCTAAGACGGATAGTCGAGAGTACGTTGCTTCAACTGTGTACGTTTACAAATGTAGGTTTCTCAAGCATCATGAGTTCGATTCTTGCTGCTGGATGACAATAAACCTGTAGCTAAAAGTGAAATCTGTGCTAAGTGCTGAACGGTGAAATTAATTCTCTTACCAAGTCACTATCTGAATTAAAAGATAGCACGACGATAATCAGAAACAGCGTGCTGTTATAAAAAGGAAAATTTATGCACTATATAAAGATAAAAATTCATTAAATTAAACAATAATATGCAATCTGTGGCAATCGATTTTACCTAACCATTTATTTTAAATATGATTGACGTTTATTTTCGAAGTGAGAACGTTAAATTTTCAAATTTTCACATTAATAAGCCTATATTTTGGAATCACAAAAAATTTTAACTCGCCATATGTTTCAATGTTTTTATAGAAAACAAATTATCAAATAAATAAATTATCAAATAAGATAGAGGTCGGTTGACCTTTCGGCTAACTCCAAATCTGTTACTATTCAAAACCGCATAGTAACAACCTTTGGATAGCTATAGTGAAACTGAACTACCCTGGCTAATTCATCTGTGAAATGAAAAAAAAACGAAAGAAAGAAATATTTCCAAAATTTTGCATTATGGAAGCTATAATAAACCATGATAATTAACTAACCGCAATAATCATGAATTGAAGTGACCACTCTATCGGGTGTAACATCAGCTGGAATAAACACATTATCGATTCGTGAAGGTACTTGATCACAAAACTCGTCTTCAAGCAGTGACATTATCAACGAAGTTTTTCCAACACCATCTATATAAATAATGCATGGTAAAAAATCTAAAATTTTTAAAACGGCAATTTACAATTTTAAAAAAAACTTTCAAAGAAATACGAATAATTAACAAGGTTAAGATCAGAATAAAAGAATACAATCAATAGAAAATACCAAATGATATAAATGAATGATACAAAATTGCTCGATATGAAATGATATAAAATAGGCTCGACAAGAAAGTGATGAATATCGTAAATGGTAAATGGTACTGGCTGAGAAGAAAAATTTTTCAATATTTTGCTAACTACATAGGCATCTCTTTCTTAAGATTGCAACTGCAAAATATGAAAAGCTTACGTTCACCAATGAGAATAATTCGAACGTCTGCTTTATTCTGCGCTGCATTTTCGGAAACTTCTGATCGAGTCATCACAAATAGACCTAAAAGTTAAATTTAATAACTGCTTTACCAATTGTCTTATTCGAATATTTCCCAGATTTCTATTTTATATATAAATCCTGAATAATTTAAAAAATCATGCAACAAAACCAAAACTAAAAATCTTCCAAAAATAAGGTTACACTTAAACAAACAAAAATAAACTAAAAACAAAAATAAAAGAAAAAAATTTTCATTGCAAATAAATGTCGTAAAAAAATGTTGTGAAATATAGAAATTTTTGCAAATGCAGTGGCCTTTGAATCAATACTTTTTACAAAAATAAAAGAATAAAGAAACCTTAATGAAAATTATTAAAAATAAAAATACGCACCTCAGGAAAAATACAATTTTCAAATGAAAATAACATTTAATAAAAGTTGATTTGACAACCAAGTATGACGACTAAATTTGCAGCTAAAACTGAACATATTTTTAATTTTTAAAAAATTAAGGAAAATTAAAGAGAGAGAATAAAAAAATAGCGCTTCCAAAGCAAAAACTCGTCAAAGGATTCTATAAGAATTTTATAAAAATTTTCAATTTCAGTGACAATAAGAAAAAATAAAAATTGCAAACTAAAATTATGCACTAATGCATTAAAAAAACATTGGCCCTTAAACAACGATTCTTTAAATGTAAATGCAAATCCTAACTTCATTTTGCGAATCAATAACGCAGATTCTCTGTTCCTGACTTACATATTAAAATAACTCAGCCGGGAAAAAAGAAAGACCGACCCACGACCCATAATTTGAACGGCAATTGAGCGATCAGGCATACTGGAAACCAACAACAACTTCAAGACCCTTGTCGAGAATTAAAAGCACAATTTTTTTGACTTACTCGTCAGAGTTTCAACTCGCAATTTGGTGTTTGTTGTAAGTTTCTTCGGGAAAACTTGTAACTGAAAAAATTCCTTTTGAACATTATTTGTTATTTTTCATATTTTAGCGGAAATGCTATTGAGAAAAGATTTAGGTCAAAGCTGCTCGGTGAAAAGCACGCTGTGCTGTAAATTTTATAAATTGAAAGTGTTTAGTAAAAGTGAAAATGTTATTATGTGGAAGGAAAAAGTTCGAACGAGACTAGTTTTTTAATTTGTTGTGAAGAAACACACCTCACGTGGGCCGGAAGCAAGGGAGGCCAAACAACACGTTGAGCGACACGTTCGGGAGATTTCGAGCTCATACGGCATTTCCGTGCAAACGCTAGACTCAGGCGCTAGAGAAAGGAGTCGTCACTTTCAAGCATAACAAAACTTGGAAACGTCTCAGCACAATCGCCAGCAGAGCCAAACCGTCAGTGATGCTAGCTGTTAGAAGACGAAAAGAAACGAAAAGCAGGTCACGCATCTGGGTGCAATGAAAATTGGCGTTAATTCAACAACGGATTGCGGCTGCAACTTTTAAAAGTGTCGTGAATAATTCCCCCACAACGCGAGTATTTGTATTATTAACGTGTGTATTATTGTGAGTATTATTACGTGAGTGACTGAGTGAGTGAGTATTTATCAAGCGACTTGCTCCAATAATTAATATTTCCAGCGAAGAAGCTGTGCGATAGGCAGGCGCATTTGCGTCACCGTCACAAATCGGCGACACGACTGGTCTAAACTTCAGTCCATTTTTCGCAGTACCAATCGCATTTAACACCTTTGTTTTTAGTCGTAATTTTTACAATTTTGCAAGTGAAAACTGAATCATCTTTAGTTATGCTTTCTTATGTGATAGAAATTATCGAAACTACATTGCTTATTTCGAGTTGTCGGGTAAAAGAAGGTAATTCGGAAAGTAACGCTCAGCATTTCTCTTTAGGTTCTATCAATGTGATTCGCTGTTAACTTTTGCCCTATTTGCTTTTAAATTTCCTTTTTAATCGCGAACATCATTCACTTTCATTGCCTTTCTCAAATAGATGAAAAGAAGATTTCAGATTACTTGGCGAAAACAGTATAAGTACCACCCGGGTGAACTTAAAATCAGGGCGAGCTGAACCTCTCAAAGTGATAATTTATAAGTTTATCTTGGCTGTCCTTATAAAGCTGTGAGCTATGTTTTATGCATAGGTCGAATGAATGTAGAGAAGTGCTCTAACGGAGTTTTAAAATTTCGTCGAGAAATTTTTTCCAAAAAAGTGATAACTTTGAAATGGATTTTCAAATGATTGAGCAACAATTAGACCATTTTAAAATTAACAATTTTCGATTATTTTTACCACTAAATGACTTTCTATAATATTCAGCAACGTTGTATTTCTCAAAAATTTCCTTTAAAAATCAATAAATTTTAAAATTCGTTTGAATTACAAGAATTAGACTATAGCAGTGTCGCTTAGAATTTTATCTAATCTTAAATCGACGTTGTCGAATTTTTCCACATTATTTTCTTCCTTTCATAGTTGTTTTCGCTTACATTGATTGTTAACAGTAACTAATTAAAGAAATTTCTCCTTGCCAGTCAGATATTCGATTGATAAGAAATTAATAGAGTAATTTGTAGAGTGACTTGTAAATTATTCGAATTCGAGATTCGAGACTAACGAGAGAGGCGAATTATTTATTGTTTTAATATTGAATTATTTAATGTTTTAGTTTTTCAATATTATAATTAAGATATGTAATTGACATTTTGAAAATTTGTTTTTTACTTTAACGAGAATATTGCAATTTAAAAGAAAGACAGCGAGCGTCCCATCTATTTTCTCATATTAAATGAAGAGCAATCACCGTCGCAATTTCTTCTTCCTCGAATAGTACCTTTTTTGGTTCGGCTGGTTCCACTGGCTTTTGCTGCAGGAAAGATGAAACAATGGTTAACAAAGGAAAAATGATAAAAGAATTCAATAGGACTCGATTTTACTTTTCATCAAGCATAATAGTGTGAGGCGGAAAAGCAAATTGAACTGAAAGAACCTAATAATATCGTTGCCATTAGCTTACTTTTCAACAACTAAAACAAAACGTAAATTGAAATATAAGTAAGTAAGTGGCTACCACTTATTGTTTTTCGTCGGTTTCGCTCCGCTGGCTGTTAATACAATTAGAAATTTTTGCCAGTTAGTTGCTTAAATGAAAAAATTGCGGAGAAACGAAAAGAATGAAAATTTGCTTTTTTGTCAGTCACTTGGCGACAGAAATATATGTCGATCGCCAATGTCGCCCGTTTTAACAGGTTTTCTTCAAAGCTTGAACACGATGAACTGCTAACAACTCGGCTGTCCTACATGCAACTGAAATGAGTTATGAAGCAAAAAGGCAAAACTAAAAAATTTTTTATAAAGAAATGAACTTCTCAAATGAGAATAATAATGTGATGATGTACTCAAATTAGTTAAATGATGATTGACATTTCTGCTGTAATTAAACTTTAAAATATTATTTTCTCGTTCTTTTCTCATTGATTCTATAAGAAGAAGAAATTCTATCAAATTTATCGATGAAGAAAGACCCCTCGGCAACGCGCATTTCCATTCTTTCCTATTCTCCGCAATTTTTTCCTTTAAGCAACTAACTGGAAAACTAAACAGTAAATTTTTATTTTAAAAATACTAATTATTGTTCGAATTCACTTTGGATTTTTTCACCGCTTTTTTCCCAAAAGTTCTCTTAACAAAACATTGAAATTATATATATTATATTTTCTCGGCTCCAATATTTTTGTTGACTTCCCGTGGCGAAAATAACATCCTCGTTGTTCAATTATTTTTCCTCTTTTCATTTTCTGGAATATGGAATAAAGAAAGAAACTAGAAAATAAAGGAATATTAGAAACTATTGTTTTTATGTTGTGTTCACGTTGTCTTCAAGTTGTGTTCAAATTACTTATTTTATTTTCTCACAACTAATAATGATAATTTTTCTTCAGTAGCGCAATCAGTCTTTGAGACTGGACAAACATCAACGATTTCGCCTTTTTAAACTCTTGATAATACTCTTGAAATAATCAGTTTTATTATACCAATGATAACGTTTGCAATGCGTTGCAGGGATATCAATAAATGTTGCTTATATGCTGCTGCAAGGCTAATTTTCGTATATTTTTTGATAAATTTGAGCTGTAAATTCATTGTTTATATTTATCTATACATATATAATATTTTTCTTTTATTTTACTCGATTTTATGAATTAATTAAGAAAAATATGAATGTGCCATATTTAGAATTAAATGAAATATGCATAACCAAGAAGTAATTTTCAATGAAAATGATCGAAGTATAGAATCACAATGTTGTATTTTTAACGGAAAAAAGGTTTCATATAGTAATATAAGATAAAAATCTTTTAAAAATTAAGTTGGTTAATTTTCATAATTTCTGGCAAAGCTAGCATGGCTGCTGCTTATAGCCAGAAATTTTTGCCAAGGAGTCACTCAGCGGTAGAAATGTAGGTAGATCACCTCCATTGTGAATTACGGGTTTTTAATCCTGTCGTGAGCAGGAACCAAACCTTCGTCAACACGATCATCCAAGCCGCTATTCACTCTTACCTTTGAAAAAAAATTTGATAATTGTTTTTTTTTGTTTCTAAATAATTCTAATAGTTTTTAAAAATTGGATTTTTTTTAGTGGCGAAGTGCTTATTTGTTATGTTCACAACCGAACGACGTATGCACTGCAGTTTTAACGATTTTCAAAAATCGTAAAAATAGACTAAAGAAAAAAGCATTTATAACGCGTATTTTGGATACTTTTGTTGGGTTTGAAACAAGTTGGAATCTTCTATTACCAAAAATTGCTAAAAAATTTTTGCTTTGACCACAAAACTTTAAGATAAAATAAATAGAATTATAGGTTTCGAACTGCAAAAGCAGAGGAATACCATGTGTATAATATCATCAAAAGAACTTCCAATCATTTCCTTTTCATCAATGGAGAATTTGATTCTTTGGGAATCGTGGATTGATCAAACATGCTGCAGAGGTATCGTTTCATTTTTTTGGCAATTTAACTGGTTAAAAAATGCGCCTAATCTGTTTCACTTATATTATTATATTAAGGCTCGTTATTTTATCTACAATTGCTTGCGGCGCCTGAAAAAAGTCGTGCCAACTTATCACTGTATCGTGAAGTTCGTTTGCATATGCATGTTAGTTGATGGATTTTTGGATTTTTTAAAGTTTCTTACGAAAGGTGATTTTCGAAATTTTTAGCCACAAAGCATCAATTTCCATTTGTAACGTCATTTTTAATTTTTTAACTTATTAGGTGCTAATGTCTTAATTTTATTAAGTTTTCTTATTGTCAACTTAAATTAACTTAATATTCAAATTGAGGATTCCTTATTTCTTTAGTTCTTTTTTTATAATATACCTTATTACAGTATTACAGGATGGTCGATTTGCATTGGTCGAAGGTCGACCTCAGAGAATTATTGGATTTTGGCGCATTAAGGATGTAATACGGATTTCCTTTATATCGAACGTGTTACATTTCTTTGCACATGATCCATCCGGCGTCGACGACGGAATGTACTCGCTAGCATGCGGAAAAATTGAAGAAATTGAGAAACATTTTTCGATGTGTAAAAAAGCAGTAAATTTTAAATTTTATTATTTATATTTTTAAATAACTTTCTATGCTATTGCTTATCTTCTCCAGTAAAACAAGCAGTAATAAATATAGACCAGTTGATATATTCAGGGTGTGCTACTGTCATATCTCCGACATAAATCTGGCAATGACTGTTGGTTACATGCTTATGCTGAATCTGTATCACCAGTATCAAATCGATCATATACATTCCATTATCCAGTTCTGCAGTTTAATGATGGGTTTCCTGAGGCTGTTCCGCCATCCCAGAAGCAAGTTGCATTTTTTCATTCTTAGTGAAATTTTAATTAATTAATTTATATTTAATTAATTAATGTTAATTAATTTAAATTTCTTCTTCATTAATTAGTTCCGCGTAATATATGAATCCAATTTTCGCTGCTAAAATGATTTCGCTGCTGAAATGATTTTAAAATTTCAATTTCATTTTTAAAAAAATGTAATAGAAATTTCATAATTTCACAGTGAACAAGGTGCAATCAAGTGGAATCCGCATGTTTAAGTAAAGTAAAATTTGGTCAGCGTTGTTTATTTCTAGTTAGGCTAACTCCTTTTAATTAATGCGGTTAGAAATTTTTGCTAAAGCGTTACTTGGCTGGCTGTAGATTGCATCGCCAGCTGATTTTAGTGGTGGCAGCTTTACTCCTGTTGGACACAGAAGTCGAACCCTTTCCCTTTCAACACGATAATTTGATTCCATAGCGCTATCCTGCATGCTATAAAAAAATTATTGTGAAAATTATTTCGACGTTCAGTCCGTTCTAAGTTTCAATTATAATGAATAATTCGATTTGTATGATCGATAATGTGAATGTATGTGAATTATTAAAAGCTTACGTTTTAAAATATGAATATTATTAAATATTTTAAGGCGAAAAGAAAGTGTTGCGAGAAGTTGTGATGCGATTCCTCGTGCCGGTATTTTTTTATTCGTTGAAATAATTTTGCTGAAAATGAAAATAATTTTTATTGAATAATTGAAAGATTAAATAAAAAATATTTAAAAAATCGAGCTGATTAATATAGGAATTTAAATGAATTATTATTGTCTTTGTGCTGAAGAAACGAGGTGAAACAACAAAGGGAATATTTATTTCTGTGATGAGAAAGGATCAGTTGATTCCCTTTTCGTGCGAAAACTTCTTTAGGCATCGATCCAGCGTTTGGAAAATTTTTAAATTTCATTTCATTTCTGCCAAATAAATTTCTTTCTATCGAATTTATTAAAATTTATTGCATATTTTTATTTTTTTATTTTATATTTATTTCATTTATTTATTTTATTATTATTTTATTATATATTATATTAGCCGTTATATTATATTATATGTATTATTTTATATCTAAGATTAAAATTACAGTTGATTTATGAAGAGAAATTAGTATGGAAAGTGATCTTTCTTCGTTCTTTTGAATTAATTGTTCTTAAAATATAAATTTATATAAAATTTATCATTGAAGTTTTAAGTTGGATAAATTACAAATTTAATGCTTATTTTCTCCAAATTATTCCTTTTGCGGAAAATTTTGACTTGATTTTTTTTTAAAACGATTTTCAAATTCATCTCGGAATTTGCAACAATATTTTTTGCTTTTTTAAAATAATCCCTTTGTTAATTTCTTCGATATTTTTAAGTCGATTTGTTTATTTATGAAATTGATTTCCAGGATATTTGTGCGTATCAGAAACTAAAGTGAAAAACAATTTAGAATGTGTTCCAGATGATCCATTAGTGTAAACCATTTTTTATTTATTTTGAATAATAGCCATTATTTATATAGTTTAATTTGAATCATACTAATTCAAAATTTAATTTTGCAAGTTAGTAAGAAGCTTTCTAGTTAGACTGTTCTTAGACCAGCTCTTCAGACTGTTTGTACGCCTCGAAATTTTTGCCAAGGTGCCACTTGGCGATGGAAGATGGGTTACTAGCACCATTCGATTTTATAAGCAATCGATTGTAAATACTTTTCTATTTTCATTATTATCTATAATAGTTTCAAGTATGTAAACTTTTTCGCATATGAAGATGATTGTGCTTATTTATTTATTTTATCAAAAACCAAGCATATGCTTGAATTGATAAAATAAATAAGCACAATCATCTTCATATAAAATATCACATCCACCTTCGTTCATATACCACTTGCATTAATAACGTTATCACAGAGCGTCGCCTTCGTTGGTTAGGGCAGTTCCTCCGTCGTCCACCGCAGGAGTTGACGTACATTTCGTTACTTGCTAAATCGTGTGATGGTTGGCGTCAAAAACGAGATGGGCCATTCAAAATCTGGACTGATACGGTCAGGAAAGATTTTGAACGTATAACTGGACCAGCAGTATATAGACTTAGACGATGGAAAAAGGAATGGCTTCTATAACTGTCCACTATGGTACCAGACGCTTGGAATCCCTTGTGGTCATTGGAGCCAGCCTAACCAGTAATGGTGAGAACTGTTAGTAGAGGAAGAAGATGCACTTGAATTTACAACATATTGTAATTTAAAAACATTGGGAGAATGGTTATGCCATTTATAGGTTTGAATAAATATAAACATTAAGAAAAGGCACAAATCAAATTGCATATAAATATCACGAAAACCTTTATTTCGATCTACTTTTATTTAACCGACATCGAAAGGTAACTTATTCCAATAGTTAACAATACGAGTTATGACTTTTCAACTTAATTATGCAAACTTAGTTGTTTAGCATATTTCAGTAATTCTTCACCATTAGATTTATATCTGCGTTTAAATTCAGGTTGAGATTATTAGCACCTTGCAGAAATGTTATTGTTCAAAATTTTGTAGGTTAACATCGAATCTTGCTTAGTGCTTCTATTCTTAATGAGTTTTGCAATTTCTTAATGCTAGGATCACGATTATATGCATAGTATTTCCTTAATCCTTCAATGAATTTATTCGATTTATATTGTTTTGGATTTGTGAATAGATTTATATATATAAATTTTATTTTTGTATTTTTATTTACATTTTTATTTTTATATTTTATTTTTATTTTTTATATTTTTTATATATTTTGATTCATTAGCAATATGCATAGCGATTGGGCACAAATTTAAGAGAGGACGAACGAATATTTTGTGTATTTCAATAAGTGACTGAACCAAAAAATTCAATATTATGGAGGACTTCTTCACTATTGCCCTACAGTTAAGGTCAAAATCAAGATTTTCTATTATCCACAATTGAACTAAAATTTAGAATATTATTTGCACTCATAAGAATGTTATGGAAAGAGTAGTATAGTAGTAGTAGTAGTAGTAGTAGAGTAGTAGTGTCTTTCTCGAAGCCATATAGAAATTCTATTAAGATCATCTGAATAAATTATTCTGAACTCCGTGATATATTCACATATGTCTAAATAACTTGAGACAGTCCGACGTCCATGTGCATAAATTTCCCACTTGCCGCCTTCATTTACTGTTGCCAACAAATTACTAAGCGAGGCAGTATCAACGAACTTGACTAGTCACGAAAATTAACCAGCAGAATTAATTTAAAATTAATTTATTAAATTAGTCAGTCAATTAGTCTGCCTAATACCACAAATCGAACTTACAGATGGATAATTTTCTTTGCTGAACGTGGAGCTGAAGATAGTTGAAAATAGCTTGTAAATTTTGGGATCAGCGTCAGTCAGTCTTTACAATATTCTCGTAAATTAAAAAAAGTACTGCAAAGGCTGCATACCAAATTTGCTTTTATAAAATACTTATGGAACAGTAGGTTTAACCTGCATTAATTTACACTAAGCGTCGAATGTTCGCAAAAGTCATCATTACTAAATTCTCAAAGGGTACGCGTGCTATTTGCACAATTATCATTCACAAATTTAATGGGCAAATACTTATTAAATATTTTAGCTTATAAAGACAATTTAAAAATAATGGTGATAAATCCAAGGTGAGTCATAGAAGATTAGAGAAATTGTAAAAATGAACCATAATTTAAAATATTTCCTCAATAATGTAATATCAAATATAGAATTTATTCATTTGAACCGATAAAAACATTTAAATAATTTGGATAAAGCATGGCCAACGCCCAAGGCGAATAATAAGGAAAGTTCTTTCAGTGAGTCGCTCACACCTTTTGCTGCATCGAAACCAATCCACACGAGTAAGTCATTTATTCACAGTTAAGCTAATTATTTACACAAACCAAAAAACAAATAAATTTCTGATATTGATTTATTAGCAATAAACTCAAAAAGTGCATCGAACAATTCAATTCTTTTACAATGTAAATTTCTAATGAAAGATTTTTCTTCTTTAACATGATCGAGAATATCCATTATTTTCTGATAATTAGTCAACCACTGTTCTAATAAATTAGTCGCAACGCTTCTTGATTCGACGTTTTCGGCTTTGAATTTATTCTCTGGAAATTTTAGATTATTTCAGATCTCAAACACGATAATTCATACGCTATTTCAACCAATAACTCAAACTATTTTCGAAAGTTCTGAAATTCATTTAAATTTCATAATTAAATAAATTTGATTTTTAGTAGATTCAAACCATTCGCTGTATGAAAATCTTCATCTTTATGAAAACTTGATGAATGGAACGCTACCGAAAAGGTCAAAAATTTTCGAAAAAAGCCACTATTTATCAGGTAAAAATATCAGTTTTTTCTTTCGCAACTAACAATTTTTTTCCATAATGGCAGAAAAGCTCAAAGATATACGGATGACGTTGTAGGACGATGAAAAATTCAGAATAGCGAATTTTTTAGCAAATATTTTTGGAATTAAAAATATCAATTATGGATTTGAAATGATATTGAATGAATATGATGAACCATGGTGAGATATCAAGAGATGGGCGGAATCACCTTCGGACCCCTGAACATTCTTTGACATCTCATTAGTGGTCTTTTTCGAACTCTATTTAGCCTACTGAGCGGTGAGGGCACGATGAGGTTTATTTTATAAAATAGACGAAAAGGCTAACTATAGAAAATCATTTTACATGTTTTTAGAATGCAGATATCTCCTTGTATTTTTTAAAGAACATTTACCACTGCTGGTAAGATTCACTTAGTTTGTCGGACTAGAAAAATATGCCAGAGAGTCCCTTGGCGATAGAAGTGAATCAAGTGAATTGCCAGCCGCATGCCCTAATATTATAATTTTTTAAATCATAATTTAGATTTAATTAATCATTTATTTTTGCAAATATTTTTTTAGTGCCAATTTTGAATCGAAATCAACCAAAATATATTAATATTGTGAATAATTCAGAATTATTTTTTCATCAAAATGGTTCTTATTTTTTTAATTTTCGTTGAAAAAATCTTTTTAAAAATTGACTACAAATTTGTAAGTTTAATTTTCTTTTTTTAAAGGAAAGGAAGCGAACGAAACAGTCTACGATACATCACATCAATTTTTATCCAGTAATCGTGAATATTCAAATCTCACTTCTCCTAAACAAATTCACTCAGTAAATAATAGAAATTCTAAAGTTTTACGTTCGGACAGTTGGCCAAAAAATAGTGAAAACAGAAATTCCGCTGTAATTTGCTTTAATTTTTAAGTTTTTGTTTTTCTTATTCGTTTTCAACTAATATTCTTCGCCTTGCTGCTTTTCTTCTATCTTCTTTAATCGCTATATCAGAAATACAGTTGGTACTAGCTATTAGGAAAATCAGAATTCTGAGATTGCTGCCCATTAATAAGTTCAGTCAATATAGAAAAAAACTCATTCACGATGGTTTGATAAGAACTGAACAGGAATTTCATTTGCTGATCCTTTCTAAAAATTTTAATTCACATCCTGCTGGCCAGCTTTTTTAGACCATTTATTAATGCGTAATTTTAAGAATTTTTGAATATTTCTAAATGCTTCTTTTATTGCTTTTTTAGTTTACAATATCACTCGATAGAATTGCTTTTTTTCTTTGTATTTTATTCAAAATTTATTTTTCTTATTTAAATCTTTAATTACTACTAAATAATTTGTTATTAAATATAATTTATATAATATAATAAAAAATATATAATTTTGATAAATTTTATATATATATATATATATATAAAATATTGTATTTTGGAAAAATTTTTAGATAAAAAAATAATTGAAAAGCTTTTTATAGGCTTCTGACACCAAAGTATTTGGACAAGTGTCGCAAAGGCTTGAGCCAGAATATAAAAACAAATATACGAAACAAGAACAAAGAAAATCACGATCAAAAGCCTTTGGTGGAAGTGGTTTTAAGAACAAATTGAAGTAAATAGTTTTGGACCATTTTTTACAAATATTTTCGGCGCACTTTTTGTTGTTTATTTCCGCATAGCTTTTGTTTTTTTCAATGGATAAGATCCAAAAGGATTTCTTTTTCGGTCTTTGCTTCTATGGAACTTAGCTTTTATTTAGTTCTGGACTATCGCATAGATCAAAATCTGTTGGTCTCGAATCAGGAATTAAGCGTTCCACATCATCGCGACAGGAAAATTGGGATCGTGCTAAAAGGATTATTGGAGGATCAAGGAGATCTTTTAATGATTTGAAAACAGAAAATTCTAAGGTGCGAATCTCCTTTTCAATATTACTCTTACCAGTGTTTTTTTGCATTGCTTAAAAGATCTTCAAATTATTAAATATAAGCAATAATAATATAACCAAATTTAGCTTACAATGTCACTCGATAGAATTGCAATGGCTGCAAGTGGCTCCCCACGTTTTAAGGTAAACTATACTTAAGACGTAAGGCAGCTAACAGAACGAAACTGCTGCTAAAATTACTTGGAAATCAGAAATGCATCGTCTAATACTTAGTAATTATAGTTTAATTATAGTCTTCCCATGGTTCGTTATTCGTTGGTGATGGTGGTATGTCTACATTCGAGAAGATGTCACGCATGGATTTGGTGCTAAATATCGATTCCAGTCATCAGGGTTTTGCAATTTTGATGTCATCCAATTTTAATTCAGTTTATGTTTGATTTTCTAACCTGAAATATTTTCTCACCATTAATTTATTTCATAAGGAAAATTTTTCAATTTAACACCAGTTTCCCCTCAACTTAATGATTTGAAAACAGAAAATATTAAAATATATCAAAATATTAAAATATATCAAAATATTTTCTTCTGTTTTTACTGATTTAAAAAAAAACAGTTTTTTACACTTTTTAGAGATACAGCCATCAACATCAATGAACAGTCTTAGTCCAATGCCTGGCTTAGTGAAAATACCACCGAAAAAGTTCGGTTTTAATCGGACCAAACAACTATTGGCGCAGAATTTACAAAAATCAATCACAGGATCGTATTCGGTAGAAATGTTAAAATTTTTTCATATATTCTGTTGTTCGTTTATTCGATTTTCAAGAAACATTTAAAAGGATAGCGAAAAAAGAATGTGGCCGTTCTTTTAACTTAATTGGCTATGTAACTGTATAACCGGTTGCCAACTATGATGGAGTCTGAAATAAATTTTTTATTTTTCTGTATTTTTTAGAAATATGATGGCGAGCGTGCCACACATCACTATAATCCAGAAGATCCGATGAATATGCCGGCAATGGTCGACTGCTTAGAATCAGCGGTAAAAAAAGGACGTGAACGCTTATTAGAAGCTGATCGCCGCAATTCTGATTTCGTTGAAGAACTTTCATTCAGGTTATATATTTCTTACCCGAAAAGCCATAGAAAAGATTTGGCCATAGAAAAGAATTTATTCTTAAAAAATTTCTCGAATTGGATTTTTTTGTTTTTGAATTCTCAGAAAAATGAAAAATAAAAAGGAAAATAGAAAAAAATTTCCCACAAATGAATCCATTCGTATATTTTTGCGAAGCGATGATCAAAAATTTATAATAACGATGCTTATAAATTAAACTAGTTTTTCATAAAAATTCAAATTTGTTTTGCTTAAAAGACTAGAAATGACGAATTTATATTTCATGGCCTATAGTTTATATTTTGTTTTTCAATAGTTCTTTTTCAAATTTTTATTTTCAATTCTTTACAGATTCAGCATTTCTCTCGTTCTTTTTAAAACTTTTTTGAAGCGATGGTCTTAATATCGATATTTTTTTTTACTGAAGGGGACATTCGAATCGATATCCTAAAAGGAATCTGAATTCATTTCCTAGTGGATGCTCGAAATCCATGGGTGTAACACATAATTTGGCTAGTCAGGTGATTCATGAACGAACCGGATCGCGCGAAGAAACAGATGTTTTGAATCAAGATTCTAGCACAAGGTATATACATGTTTCTTCCAAAAAATTGATTTTATTATTTTATTTCGAAGCTTATTGAATATATTCCCATAAAAATTGCAGTTCATCTACTGATATTACGGAATCAAAAATGAAAAAAAAGTTAGTTGTAAATTCTGATTTACCAAAAACACAAAGTACAGAGCCTTCTTTAGCGACAAGTGCTCCACCGATTCCACCCAAAACTTATCTTTTAAAGGTGATTTCATTATTATTATTTTTTATTATTCTTTTGTGGTGGCTGGTTCGTATTGATTGCACTTCATTTATTTTTAAATCCAAATTCTAAGATATTTCAGAATTTTTTGTAATGGGGATGCCAAATTTTTATAATTTAGATTTATAATTTTTCTAGAAAACTGCACCATCGGATCAACTATCAATACAGGTGAATAACACCACCGACCGATCACATGCTTCATCATCGGTTTCTAAGACACAAATAACCCCGAGCTCATCACCAACGAAAAAAAACCAGAATCATAACAATTTACCTGAGCTAAGCAAATTGACGGGCAACTACTGCGATTTAATACAGAGTATTGATAGCACTTGTGTATCTCGTAAGCCATCTGAAACCAATCGTACTTTATATGTTAGTATCGACTCAGTCGCTACAGTTGCTGCTTCAAAGGTTATTATCAACCATATACAACATTTAGCACTACATCGCCTTTCTTGTCAAAAGAGCGATCGCCATGCTTAAATTTTTTTACATTTTTTCAAATTTAGGCGCAAGCAACAATGATGGAGGTTAGGGAGCGACAATATCAAGTGAACGGTTTGCAGACGAATGGTAAATATTACTCAGAATTATCCCTTAATGGTCGTAAAAAAACTCGTCGTTCGCTGGGTATGTGCATTGGCCTTAAATGAGAATTTTTTTTCATTTTTATCTTATAGGCAAGTTTTCGTTCAACAAACAATTGAAAATAACCTAAAAATTCTTTTTTTATTTAAATTTCCAGTATTTTCTTTAGATCAACCAAGGCAGAAAGATTCGTTTGTTCGACGTTTTTGGAGGCGGCCAACTTTTTCCCTTTCTTATACAGATCTTCGATTTTGAATTCAATTATTTTTTTGTCATTCCTTATTTTTACTATTTAATAAAAGTCCTTTATCCTTTCTATTTTGTGCTTAAGCGGAAAATTCAGAAATTGTTTCAAATATCAAATTTTCTTGATTGATTTATTTAATAAATTTTTCATTATAGTCGGTTTTTTTTTTCATAAACTCATTCATATTCAGAAAAATTCGATGATTGTAATGGGAATAAAACGAACATATGTTAGCGGGTAGGAAATAAAACTAAAAAAATGGCTAAAATCTGAGATAATTCATAGGCTAATAATTACTGAAAAAGTTGCAAAATCGTTAGATCGTTTTAGTAAAGCGAAATAATTCAAGATACTGGTAATTTATTCGTCTAATCAATGTATAACGCTGCAAGGCCTATATTAGGGTCAACATTTTCCCTTAAATATTTTGGCCACACCAATTTTGTTCGGGTAGAATATATTACAGTGTGTTTATCACAATTACAAATCTAGAATTTGCGAAACTTGGCTTGGTTGAGGTGAACGGTAATCGAAATTATCTTCGAGAAACCCTCACAGTGCACTGATTCTGTCGAGTTAGCCGAGGCACCTCAGGATCCTAGTTTATGAAACTTTTCCATCAGATTAATTCGTCCGTTGTAAAAGCTGACTATCCTTAAGTTGTTTAATTTTCAATGGAAGACTAAATTTCTGGAAGAATTTTTTCATATTCTCTCATTGCATTTACAAGTATAAATTATCTGACCTTTGAAATTATCCTCGAAACAAATTATGCGATTAATTACTAATTCAATTCGTTAATTATTTATTTATTTACTTTTTTCGAAGCGATTTTTCAATAGGAAGGAATCTTATCGATTAAATAAAAATTGTTATTAAGAAATTGTAAAAAAAACGAAAGGCTCACAGTTTTTTAAGAAATTATATGTAGAAAAATAGTCAAATTTTTTGATAAATTGATTTGATTTCGATAAAATTTTTTTATCACTGAAAGATGAAATGAAAAAATTTAATGCTTAATGCCCTAAAAATTAAATAGAATTTGTTATAAATAGCGAATGAATAAATGATTTTTGTTTCCAGTTTTCAGTAAGTTCTTGGTTCAGAAAAATTACGAACATTGACGAAATTACGAACAAAATTCTCATTTTAATCAAAAAAATTTCTAAAATTTAAACAGTAATAGTGATAATCGTTTTTCGATAATAAATAATAAATTAATAAAAGTGCTTTTCACTTTTTACTATTTTATTAAATCATAAAAAATTTTGGTTTATTCATTTAACCTATCAAGTAGAACATAGCGCAGTTATAAATTAGAGTGACAAATTCGGAGTTCTCGAAACTTGAGCTGGGCTAAGCGATGAACGATACGTCTTCTCGAATCCCTCATTGGACCGGATTTCACTGGATCAGAGGGGCATTCGCATATAGGTTCATAAAACTTTTCTGAACTCGAAAATAACGAAATCTTGCGCGGCCTTATTTAAGATTAATCATTGTCAACAATTTGTTATTTTAAGAAACTGTATGAATATCGTTCGGCCTAATTTTATTATTACTTTTTGCAATCTTTGTATGGCGAGCGAAATTTGCGCATTTCCTTCGAATAGTTCTGAAAATAAAATTTAATTTAGGTTAAAGAATAAAAAATGAATAAATAATACGAAAATTAATGAAATATTTTTTCATGCGAAGAAAATTATAAAAAATTATAAAACTAAAAAATGATTTGGAAGGGAAATTTCGCACGAACTAAGAAAGATAACTTCGTTTCCGCTACAATTATACTAAATAATAACTATGATGCTTCGAATTTCGTCAAATGAAAAATGAAAACTAAAATTTCGAAGATATTCAGGCAGTGATTATTTAAGAAACGAAAGAAGAAATGACTTTTTGTGAAAATTAAAAAAGTTGATAAAGACGAGTTAAAAAGAAAATATTCACTTGTTAACGATTATATATAAAAATGGATGCACTGAAACGGAAATTATCCAGAGAATATTTGATATAAGAGAATGAACCATGGGAACATTGAATTTTCCATGAATATAAAAATAAATAAATTCAATAAGCGGGAAAAGAGTGACAATAGCCGACTGAACAAATAGCCTAATTTCATCCATGGGTCGGAGTGATTTCTAATAAATAAATGATATTAATAATGCAAGTAAATTTATATAAGTTTCTGATGCCTATAATTAAACTCTATGCAAAAATTTTATCGATTCGCTAATTTTTGCTACTTTTTTTGGATTTATTAAATCTTTTTGTTCAATATTTTAAAATAAATCTTTTCAACATTAAAATGCAATAATTATTAGATTTTTCATGAGGAAAACTCAAACTTATTGGAATATGTGTATTTTCATTTAATATAATCACATACATTTTGTAATCGTACGCGAGTTAATGTAATTATATAACATAAAGCAGCAAGCAATAATTTGAACATCGTGGTAATCATATCAATAGACTGATATATATTTGTTGAGCTTCCAACTTGACACCACGAATATGTCTCTATATCATATAAAAATGATATTCCCGGAAGAAAATATAATATTAGAAATACAAAACCTTCAAACCATATTACGCAAAAGCCGATCTAAATTAATTGAAAATTTAATATAAATTAATTGAAAAATTCGAGAATTCAAAATGAATTCAATTAATCATTGTTCAATTTTTTCAGGAATAATTTTAATATTATTTTCATTATATTAAAAAATATCGTAATTTCACTAATTATTTCTGTTAAAAATTGTAAGAAACTTTGGATCTATCAATTTGTCTTAAATATATGTAATCACTTGCATAGTTCCGCGAATAAAATTTTATTACGATGTTACACAATACTTTTCTGAATTTCCGATTTCTAAAAGACTGGTTTCATGCAAATTTTAGAACAACAGCAAATATTTTAACCAGCTGTAAAAATTCACACGAGGAGAGCGAAATTTGCCAGATAAGAAATTTAATGAAAAAAAAAATAAAGATGAAATTCAAATAAATAAATGGCTTCTTTAGGGAAAACAGTTAGGTCAATCGTTTGCCTTACAGTGACGAACTTACTGTTAGTAGTGGTTCTTCGAATAATGGCTGTAGCTTTTTAAATGGAAAAATTATAATTAATCGATTAACTGCCATATAAGATATTAAACTATAAGACACAATAGTAGCTGCATTCATGATAGAACCGATAAGCTGGAAAAAAATTTCTTTAAAGATTTTCAAAATTGATATCAAAATTGAATTTCTTAAGATTTTTAAGATTTTTAAACCAAAAAAAATTTTAAAAAGAATTATTTTGTATAAATTCCGAAAAGATTAGTAGAAACGTTCAAAAAATATCTAAAAATTTTAAAAAATTTTTTTTCGTGATTAACTTTTAAAAACTGAAAGGAAAATATATGTAAAGGAAATTCATTATAATAATTTGTTTTTATTTAAACTCGTCATTTAACGAAATTTAACGGCTTCTTCTTCATCATTGGTTTGATTGGCTGTGCCGCTGGCTATAGTTCCAAGTTTTTTTATGAGCGTATGTCATGTCTAAAATTAACTGAAGCCAATCTTTTCTTGTTTAAGCCTATGTATCTTGAATTCTCGCAAGACCATATCTATCCGAGTTTTGATTGGGCTCCCACACTTTTGAGTGCATCCATCGCAAGGTTTAGCATGTAGAGAGATTAGAGAGATATGTGTGAATTTCTTTGACGAGCGATGAAAGATCATTTAACCAGATAGAGGACATTAAGTAATTATACTTAATACAGATGGTATGTTCAATTTGAAGGAAGATGCTATTATGTAAAACCTTACCAGCACAGCGAGTAATGCAGGGAATATACACAAGGCAAGCATGATCAAAAATATACAGTTTCATTATATCTTCCTCTATCATTGGCCATATTCCGCAGCTTTAAAGAAGGACTTTATGTACAATAGAGCCTTCATTTTGCGACCTGAGATTCAATAGAGACGTTTCTCCGGGATCAATGGTCCGGGTTGGAATTCTATCCTTCGCCTAGGAATGGATAATAATGACAGACATTTCTTGAACCAGTATAAAATTTATATAGATCGGTATTTTGTCTCGTAATAAGATCAAGAAAAATTCTTATTTGAGTCGATCAAGGCCAATTTTGTTGCTATTATTTACACGGAGTCTAATATCTTTAGTAAATCTTTAGTCACCTTTCTTTCCATTTTGAAGGATTGCTTATTCTAGTCATATGGTACTTGTTCTTTAATCCTAAGTAGCTATAATTTTAAGTGAAAAGTGCTGGACAGCACTGAAAGAGTCCAATTTATTTCCTCTTGAAGTTTTATTGGCCTTAAGTTTGTGAGTAACAGAGATTGACTCGCGATTAGTTAGTGGTTCGCAGTCATAATGGTTCCAACATAACATCATTGGCTAAAATATAGTTAAGTATATCCTCAGAGAAATGGTTCAATCGAGAGAAGTAACCTTTAATTCACTGAATTTTTCTCGAGTTATGGTTGCTTTGCAAAGCAGGTGAAAAAATTTTCGATTATCGCCTATTCAAGTCTTTTCAGCTTTCACACGACCACCATTTTTTATCTTAACTTGTCAGTTTGCAGAACCGTTGATAATTTAGGCATTCTGACATGCGAACTCTGGCTGCTTCATAGAGATCCAACTTGCCCGCTTTCAAGTGGCATGTATCCTAAGATAGATTTGGGAAATTCTTAGAGAGAAGGTTTCAACTGAGAGCAGTAAGACCAATCATCGGCTTTTTCAGAAGTGTACAATCATTGAGATCCCTCAATACCTCAATTGCCTATTCTGAAATGCCCTTATCCTGTCTGATTATCTTAAAACTTGAAATTATCAAATGATTTAGCGATATTTAGCACGCATTATCAGTGGTTCGATTCCTCGCTTTAACCGTAACATGTCAGGTAGGCCTAAGGGCGCCAATTTCGGCTCCACTATATGAGCGGTTCTATAGTACAGAAGTTCTACAATTATTGATAT